TGCAGACTGAATCTCTGAGCAATTCAACCAGTTTGACTCACCTTTAATTTTTAAAAATAGCGCCAACACTAATAACCAAACACTTGTATGCTAAAGGATGCTAATGAACAATCATTCTACCCACCTCGCTTATTCTCGCTTATGAAGGGAAGCACAAGATTGCCCATCACACTATCAACTTTCTGGTGAAGAGAAGATTTATTAGGTCATTGAAGCGGAATGTCGATAGGAATAGTGTGTGTCGACTGATAATTGTGTGCACACCACTCATTTTCACTATGTCGAATGATTTTCAGAGTGAAGTAAGAAGGAAAAGCACTGACGATCCATTTGAAATCATTTACTTCATTTGGTTCCCTTGATAAATTTCGATAAAGAAAGAAAGACCAGATTTGCAATATAAAATGATATCATTCTATTTCACAGGTTCTCATCAAGTACAGACTACCTGAAATTATAATGCTGATATAGATGATAATAACATACTTTAATGTTTAAGTGGCAGTAAAGAAGAAATACTATAAAATTGACGCATCCAAAATGTAAGCATTACACTTCTCAGTTTAAGTTTTCATCATCAATTTATACGCTTTCTAAGTAGAAAAGGGGGGAGGAGGGATAATTCAGAACCCAGGAAAAATTAACAAACAGGGTTAGCTTGTAGGTCCACATAGCAACTCAGAAAATAAAAGCAGTTCCAGTTTACAAGACTGAGATTTGCTCAGTGAGTCGCGATTATTGAATTAGATGAATAATTAGCATAATCAAAATCAAAATTCAGAGTGCAATCACCAGATTTATTGTTCATACTGGTCATCTCGTAGAAATTTCCAAGTCCTTCAAAGGACAGTCGAAGCGAACGAAATCAAACGAGTCAAACAAGACTTATGCATCCAGAATATGATTTTGACTATGTTAATTATTCATCTAATTCAATGATCACGACTCACTGAGCAAATCTCAATCTTATAAACTGTAACAGCTTTTATTTTCTGAGTAGCTGTGTTGACCTACAAGCTAACCCTGTTTGTTAATTTTTCCTGGGTTCTGACTTATCCTTTCCCCCCTTTTCTACTTTGTAAGCGTATAAATTGATGATGAAAACTTAAACTGAGAAGTGTAATGCTTACATTTTGGATGCGTCAATTTTATAGTATTTCTTCTTTACTGCCACTTAAACATTAAAGTATGTTATTATCATCTATATCAGCATTATAATTTCAGGTAGTCTGTACTTGATGAGAACCTGTGAAATAGAATGATATCATTTTATATTACAAATCTGGTCTTTCTTTCTCTACCTAAATCATTAATCTTTCCTAAATGAGGATGAAATATTTGCTGGAGAAAATTATTGCATTTGAAGTGAGTTATGTCGACTCACTTGAATCGATTTCTTAGTCATCTACAGCATATGACATTTTGAATTTGCATCCAGTCAATTAGTGCAGGATTACCAGCTAAGACGACATTTGTGGATGCATGTTTTATTTATTTTACTGAAGAATACACCATTTAGAATATTCTCATTAGTTTTGAAATGTTCAGTCTACAGTGCAAAAGTGCAGAGGTGTTTGTTTGACAAATCGGTTATCATTTTTTTTACAATGAAACAATTCACCATTATTCATGTGAATGCAACTGTCACTCTAATCACCACTGACAGCACTAATCTCAGATATCACGTTACCCCAGTGATGACTAATCCCAACTGTCTATGTTTGCCGGTGAAGTGTAAAATGGGAATGTTATCTGGAATGAAAAGACCATATTATTCATAGCCTTGCATGTTATTAGTTATTTCATCCTCAATTACAGTTTTTTTTATTGTGGCCTATGTATTCAGTCGAGACGACAAGTCACTCAACCGCTCATATGGATGTGTTTGAAGATCGACTTTATTTTCGTTGATTGATAGGCATTTTACTGCCTTAAATCACATCAGGATTCAAAACACTGTGAACGAGTAAACAAGAATCGTGCGTCATATTTAGTTAATTTAACTTACTATCGCCAGAACCACCAATGAAATACCAGCCAATATTTGAATGGTTAACTGTGAATAAAAGATCAAAATTAGTTGATTTAAAATAGTGAGGCGTGAAAGAAACACAGTCAGCGGAATATCATTTTGTGAAATTTACATACAAACTTCATCCACCTGAATGAATGTGGAATAAAAAAATATTTGTTTGCCAGTATTCGAAAATGAAACTTTCAGAAGAATATCAACAGACTTTTGACCTATATAAGCAACCTTTTGTACAGAGGATAAATGATTATCAACACGGTCCTAATAAACTAATGGTATTCCTAACTGACACGCAGTCAGTGAACTGGACTAATACTTCCTCCCACATATGAGACGGTTTTTCAGAAGAAATGATACGATTTTCAAAAAAATACACATACCTGAAAATGCAAGCGAATCCCTAATAGAATAATAAGAATGATAAAAATTATTCCCAGTAATGATGAGCAGATTTGTACGAACAGAATGTTCGACAGCATGAATGGCTTTGTAAATATAGCTGCAAGAAATATTAAAATGGCGTACACTGTAGCCGACTCAAGTGAAACCAAACACCATTTTCTTCCAAGACACGTTGATACCAAGCCACAAATGATCGACATCACGATATTCTGAAATGAGAAGAAGACGTTGTTAACAAAGTAAACGCAACATAACACACTGCTCGAAAAAACTGATTTTCTACACGCTTGTAGACAGTAATTGGGGGAAATACATGGTTCTGAAATCATTGCTCCTAAAAATGTACCTAAGTGCCTGTAAGGTTGTTGATTTCAGCTGTCGAATAAATTTTCTATCAAAAAGTCATATTTCGTAGTCGACTGAAGCCTTGAATGATTTCAGAGTATCTGCAATAAACCAGCAGTAAATTAAGATAATCTAATAATAGATCACAGGATTGGGCGAAAATGCAATTGATGAGATGAATATGCAAACAACAGATGTTTAGTGTGCAGGATTTATTGGATTTATCGAATTTCGGTAGAATTCTTGAAATGAATACTGCACACAGAATGTTATATATACATACCATTAAAAGTCATTCGAATTAGGATATGTGATACTGATCAGTAACGTGACTGTCAGTATTTTTCTTACTGTCAGTAAAATGTTTGTACACTGTGGAATAGATCAAATATTTTTCAGTTATATTTTTATCGTTCACAGAAAACGATGAGAGGACGGCCTAAAATACAGGACACAATTATCCATAGAAGAGGTAATAAAAGGGGTTGAATTCTGTCTAACAAAATATTTTATATTTGAAAGAAAGATATGGCAATGAAATGAAGGAGCCGCCATAGAATCACCCATCTCATCAATAAAAACTGATGTATTCACGGATATTTGGGAAGAGAATGCACTAAAACCATTTATGTGTTCACTTAAATGTTGATGGATACATGTAGATGACACGTTAATGATAATGAATAGGTATGATATTGATAAATTAATCTCGCACATAAACAGTCATACTAACTCAATAGAATTCTATATGGAAGTCGAGAATGAAATTGTGGAACTACCTAGTTTTGACTGTTAAGTACAAAGAGTAGCAGATGGTAGCATAAAAATGATGATATGTAGAAGAACTACATATTCTAGCAGGTTACTTGATTATCACTCAGCTCATCCACTCACAGTAAAGCAAGGTTGAGACAGGGTCTTGCAGACAGAATTCGCAAACTCACAAGACCAGATGATGAACGAAAAGGAATAAACGTCTTATTGGAAATGTTACTCGATAACAATTGTCCAAAAGAAAACATCAGAGATAACATAAAGAAGAAGAAGAATAAGGGAGTGAAAGCAGAGAACGGCAAGAAAGAGGGTGGCAAATCACGGTCACACTACCATACAAAAATGGCACATCAGAGGCAATACGTTGAAAATTCAAAAATATTGTCATTTGCACCACATTCAAACCAGCGAATCTGATGAAAAATAGAATAAATCATCTGAAAATCGAGTAAAACTGACGAATAAAAGTAGCAACGTTATTTACAAAATAGCTGGTGCCGAATGACGGTGGGTCAAATGTTTAGATCACTCAAAATAGGAGTGAATGCATATGAACACCTAACTAAAGATCAGTCGATAGGGACACAAGCTCACAGTAAATGTGAAAAAAAACATTCATCTAAAGCTGCACATGCCTGGGACAAAAGCCACAATCTTGAATCTATATTGATTACTGTGATGGTGGATGCATTAAGAAGAGTGACTGAGCACAAGTGCCAACAACCTGGAATATAATCCTGGATAAGCAAACCTCAATAAACAAAAAATGAACTATGTATACATGATAATGAGTAACATATTTGTGAATTGAAGTTGAACAATTCTAACAGTTGGTGTGATCATGGGCAGTAGTTTTGCTCAAATACTACCAAAAACTTAAACTTACCATAGTGTGTAAACTACCGAAATAGAATTATAATATATTTAAACCTTTTATTATATTATAAATACAACTTTGTGTTGAGTGTTCTTCTGAATAGTCCCAAAGAGACCCGATGAATTCTTTAATTCCTGCTTTTTTAACATATGTTTCTCACATTAAATTTGCATCGATAAAAATTATTTCTAATGTAATATTTGTCAGTTCAATGAAGATATTTACTGATATGCCACTATGAGTTCATGAACAACTATGGAATATCCCAGCTTTGACACTGCTAGAATCTCAGTTAACTAACGTTGCTCAAGTGACAAAATAATAACACGCTTTCATATGAACACAAATTCACTCATCGATAGTTAAGGACAATCCTCTACTAACCCGATAGATGATTTATGTACTTAAAATGCAAAATATAATGGAAAGTGTGTGCGTAATCAGGCTATCATCTTGATTTCAAACCTCTTCGTACGTATTTCCCATAACAATAAAAAGGACACTAAGTCTTCATTCAAATAAATGACAAAACAAAATTCCATGAAATACAGTAGCAAAACGTGGACTCACCGTTATTACTGCAAATATGATATGCACTGATAGTGGAATTCGGAGTGTGAAAATGACAGCCCAAATAATATATGCACAAGCTAACGCCAAACTACAAAATGGCTGACACCTCATATTTACGACTTACGCTAAGCCCAGATAAATCCATTTATAGTGAGCGATCATTTTTTCGATTCCTCTGCGCATTCCAAAAATTCCTTACTCAATAAGAAACTTACAGAAAAGTGAACAGGACGACAGTTGTGACCAGTACAACCCATTCCAAAATAAAGAACAACAGAAACATTCCCTAGTTTCGTTTAATCAGTTAGTATCAACAAACATTTCACCTCACCTTGATGCTCATTTTTATCAGTGAGTGTTGAATGAGAGTTTGCTTAAGTGTATACACAAAGACTTTTTTCGCCTATCTGAATATGAAAATATCTCTGACACAAACTTGTCCTGTAAACAGTTTTGACTAATGCGAGCAGTCGTTGTTTCTCAAAGCAGCGGTTATTGTGAAAACTGAGTTCTCTTGAATCAACATTAGATAGACGAACAATCAAACTGACATAAGTGGTAATCATCACCAATAGTATGACACTTTTGAAACTAGTGATTGGCTGAGAATCAACGACCTTGTATTGGTCATGATAATTCGTGATTATGTTTTATAGGAGTGTTTCGCTGGTTGAGTTACCATTCATCAGTTTGACGTACACTTTTTGTATGTATTTCTGTTAGCGCATTTTTAATAGATTAAAATTTCTATTTAAGAAAAGGCTGTGAAGGCCCATTATCAAGTGTTTTTCATGCAATGAAGAATACAATTTCTTTGAAAGCTCTGACCTGGTAGTAGTTGGGCTAAGATCATATTTTCGGAAATGTACGAGGACAGTAATTTTATTTATCAAAGTTATATTGATCTTCTATGGTACATTGTCTTATACATTATGATACACTTTATTTATTTTATCCATGTTTATTCTCCTTCTACAGTCAGGAAACATTAATCACAAATTTATTCGGTTACTGAATCTACAATTGACCTAATTTCTCTTAACACTTGATAGGCAATTTTCTTACTCATCAATTCTAGCTGTTTTTGAGTTGCATTATTTTCGTCCTCCCCGCTACTTATGACAATCAACTAAAATAGCCCAGTACTCAACACTTTGAATTATATTACATTTTATTTTAGTTCCTACACGATTGATGCATTCTTTTTGCATTGTGTGACTGTTATCTAAAACTTGCAAATTTACTGACACATCTCTGGAAATATTCCCTTCTTCTTACTATGAAGACTTCTAACATGTGTGTGACTGTTCAGTCTGACAATGAAATCACTGATAATAGCACCAAACGCTGAACGCCTTTTCTTTCGTATACATTCACTTTTGATGACTAACCATCACACAGATAACAGTGATTGCGTATTTTTTAAGAAAACTCAAATTAACAAATTGTGACCGTATTTGTAATATGAATCTGTGATTATTTTGAAATTTTCTGAAGGCCTGTATTTCTACGCAACTATTCCCATATTTGAAACACACGAATCTCAAAAGAATCTGTGTAGAATGGTGAGGAAATGAACAAGTGATGATAGAAATTGGCATTATATTGTAACGACAGAAGACAAGGGCCAGGCAACAGATCGTTTATTGAGAAAATCAAGTGATATTTATGGATTTTTATGTACATTATTATTCGTTATTATTAGCAGAGAAACAGCGTCTTCTGATTGGTTGTTTTCTCGCTGGAAGTTATTCTGCCATCTCTTTGTGGCCGTTTCTTTGAAGGTCAGATCATATCCGCCCAAACAAAGTCATCTGTAACTGGTTGTTGAGTTAGTCGTTGTTCTTGTTCTTTTCTCATGACCAAGATTTGGGACATAAACATTGAAGTAAATTGATGTTTATCAATGTGGCTAGCAGACAGCTCTCACCACAATATACCTGTTTAGTATTCTCACATTTATGTTGCGTAATATTATTGAAATATCTGGTAGACAGTAGATTTGTTAATGGCATTTTTAGTGTCAGGGTATAACAAAATGACAGTCAACATTTATATAACACGATAAACAGCCGTAATTTCTATTTTCACTGCATATCACCTGAGGTCTATACCAAGTAAAATACTAAGTCGCGACATCCTGGAGAGAATAAAAGATGCACTGGATGCAGAACTCCACCCACCGTATCACGCATGATTCAGAAAAAGCAAATCATGTGTGCATCGAATCGCACCTATTCTCATCATCATCGAACATAGCATAGAGTGGTAGTCGACTTTCTCTTTACCACAATTCTATGGAGTTTGCAAAGGCCCTCGAAATCGTTGACCGCGAAGTAATACGGAGACTAAGTCAGCACTGTGACAAGCAGTGCCCAAATCTTTATCAGCCTCGTTCAACAGCTATTTGAACATGACACGTGTCGGGTGATCCAGAGCGGAAAGCTCAGCAGGGTGTTTGAAGTGAAGACAGGAGTGTGACAAGGCTCGCTTCGTATTATCACTAATGATATTCTTAACTGTGGTGGACTGAGTTAATTGTGAGACTGCGCGCTAGGAGAGAGACGGCAGGAATACGCCGCACTGACCGATAATTAGTCTCTGGAAGATCTGGATTTCGCGTATGGATGAGTGATGTTTAATGACACACAAACTCGCAGACTTGCAGGCAGGTGAAAACCAACACATTGGCTGAAAAGCAGGTGGCGAAGAAGGCATTTCTGTTGAACACAGACAAGATGTAGGAGATGAAAATCACCAACCAACTGCAACAACAGCCAGCACTTATCACGATATAGGCCTTATAAGGCGAGGACGCTGACAAAATGCAGAGTCTACTGAACACCTTGAGCAACAATCTTCGTATGTGTGCCATGTGATTCACCCCTGTAAAATGGTAGGTGATGCTGCAGGATTGGACTTCACCGACCCCTAGATTAGAAATTGGAAGTGAAGTGGTAGAGCACGTTGACCGTTTCACTTACTTGGGAAGTACCATCAGCCACAACGGGTTGATCGCCGACGAAATCTCAGCACGAATACAAAGGGCTAGTTTCGCATATGCCAGTTTACGCCGTCTCTGGCGTAGACGCGATATCCGACTATCGACCAAAGGGCGTGTGTACTGCTCAACAGTCCGCTCCGTCCTCCTTTATGGCTGTGAGACCTGGCCATTGAGAGCAGAATACATGAAAAGATTAGCTGTGTTCGATCATAGGTGTCTGCGTTCTATCTCCCGCGTGAAGTGGTATAATAAGGTGAGCAATATTGAGGTAAGGCATCGGTCGAGTGCTAGGTAAGGCGGGGAAATCAATTGATGAGACTGTGAAATTACATCGACTGAGATGGTTAGGACATGTTTTACGTATGCCTAGTCATCGCCTTCCTCGACGGGCAATGTTAGCTGGTATAGGGTCAGGCTGGAAAAGAGCTAGCGGCGGTCAAACGAAAACATGGCACCAGTCAATGAAGTCCACAACAGTTAGTCTAAGTCACGTAGGAAAATGTAGACTTCCTGGGTGGAGTCCTCGGGACAGTAAAAACCAATGGTTGGAAACAATTGGTGATATGGCTTAAAATCGTTGTCAGTGGTGCAGATGCATCCACTTCTTGTGTCTTATGATTTCCAATTAAACTGTTTTGTTCTCCGTTATTACTATTCCTTTGTCTCACACCTAAACTTTCTGTCTATATTATGCATTTCGCCTACTTTCTCCTCTTCCTTTGTGTGTTGTATGGAGTGTGGCGACTTGAACTGCCGCACATATGTGCAAAGTTCTATGTGGAAAACCGACCGACGTCATTCAAAATCGTTCTCAGTGGTGCAGATGCATTCACTCTTTGTCATTTATCATATTCAATAAAACTTTATTGTTCTTCAATATTAGCATTCTTTTTGCCTCACACTTCTCTTTATTATCTCTGTTTGAGTCTCCCTTTAATCCTCTCTATTGGCTTGTATGCTGCATGTCGTGTGGCAACTCGAACTGGTGCACACCTGTGCAGAGTTCTACCTTGAAACCACTCAGTCAGTCAGACAATTCGCGATCCTCATTCAAATGTTTTGCTTTTCTCTTTACAGATAACCACTCCAGTGGATACTGCTCAGCAGTTCGTCCTGTCTTCTTTTTCGGCTGAATGTGGTACATGTCCATGAAAACTGGAAGATACGAAAGGGCTAGTTGTTTGTGATCATTGGAGCCTGCATTCTGTCTCTCGGGTTAGATGGTAGGTGTAAAAGGGTGAACACTATTGAGATTAGGCATCGGTTGTGTTCTAGGTAGTTAGGAGGGTAAATCAATAGACGCGGTTGTGAATTTACACCAATAGAGAAAGGTGATTTAGTGTATAGCAGAAACACATGGTTATATGCATCAGTCCGTCAACTGAATCATAACAGTCCTCCACTCTGCAAACGGACTGTGCCATCAGACCTAGAATAACAGGATCAGAAGCAGGGACAAAGCTAGTAAATTGCCCTTCCATTCTCTGCTCGGTTATGATTCCTGGTTTTTCATTGTGATTCATAACAAGAATTTATTGAAATCAGACTGTTTCGGGTGAAATTCACTCCTCTTATCCAAATTTCACGCCTTTGTTAGAAAGAGTAATGAGGAAACACGAGTAGATTGTGATAACCGATTTAGACAAGACTTCCTTAGAATTAGGAGTATCGGAATTAGTGAAGCATTGTGAGATACATCATCGCCTCATTCTACGTATTGTGTTTGGATAGGAAAGAAGATGTTTTGTTACACCACCTAAATGAGATATTTTGAGGTGAAACTGAGAACCTTCGAAAAGCTTATGAATTGTATGTTCTGGAATGTCAAATATCACCACATCAGTTTGTCCGGGAGAATGTGAGTTATCTTTTTGGAAATGAAAATCTTTTGTCTACATATTCTCCTTACTGAATATTGATTGTGGTCAATGGTTACCATGGTGTAAACGGAAGTTCGGATCCATATCAGCAAGGTCTTGTGCAGTCCTCAGCAATAAGGAGTGATCAACTGGATAGAGTTTGATGTTGTGTACCGAATTAAATGAATTCCCCTATGCAGTAACCAAAAAATAGCTCATGTGCAC